AAATATTATAATTATTGACTATTACTAATAAATACTGTTAATTTAATTTAATTATGGTAATTATTAATTTAATGAATATTGTTAATAAATCCTATTCATAAATTTAATAATTACTATTATATTAAAAATAACTAAATAATATTATTAAAACTATCATTAATGATTATTTAATTAAATAGTATAATTACTTTCTATTATTGATTAATGTTGTTAATAACGTTCTAACAACCGACTCTTCGACCGTTTAGTTTGAACGGATGGCCCGTTCTGACAACAAAAATTACAAGCAAAAAATTACGGAACCATTCTAGCCACCAGTTTTCAGGTCGACGGTTCGAACGAACAATCTGTTATGACAACAAAAATTATAGGCAAAAATTTGAGTTTGTGAGGTCCATTAAGTAGTATCATATGTGTTATGTCATTTGAGTGTGTGACTCATACGACCCGAAAATGGAACTATTTTGGCCACCAGTTTTTGGATTGACGGTTTGGCCGTTCGGCTCAAACGGACGGCTTGTTCTGATAATAAAAAATTATAAGCAAAAATTTATGGAACCGTTTTGGCTACCGGTTTTCAGGTCAGCGATTCGATCATCCGGTTTGAATGGACAGTCCATTTTGACAACAAAAATTACAAGAAAAAAATTTAAGTTTGTGAGGTCCATTGAGCAGTATCATACATGTTATGTCATTCGAGCGTGTGACTCATACAACCAAAAATTGAACCATTCTAGCCACCAGTTTTCGGGTCAACGATTCGACCGTCCGAATCGAACGGATGACCCATTCTAACAACAAAAATTAAAAAATAAAAAACTACCAAAAACCATTGGATGGGTCAATGGGTTGACGGTTCGACCACTTAGGTCAATGGGTCGTTAACCGATTCAATGGTTTTTGGCTAGGGACCAGGATTGGGGTAAAACGGAACTGGTTGCTTGGACAGTTTCCAATTAAAAAAATAAAAAAATGGACGACTCATTTTGACAACAAAAATTATATGCAAAATATTGAGTGTGTGAGGTCCATTAAGCATTACCATACATGTTATGTCATTCGAGCGTGTGACTTATACAACTTGAAAATAGAACCGTTCTAGCCACCAAATTTTGGGTCAACGGTTCGACTGTTCAATTCGAATGAATGGCCCATTTTGATAATAAAAATTAAAAAAAAATAAAAAACGACCAAAAACCATTGAATGGGTCAATGGTTCAACTGCCCAGGTCAATGGGTCGTTGACCGATTCAACGATTTTTTGCTACGGACCAAGATTAGGATAAAATGGAACCGRTTAAATAGATAACCGCTTAAAAAAAATAAAAAACAGTCAAAGACCGGGTCAATGGGTCGATAGGTCGACGGTTCCATTCTAGCCCTTGCGAAGCAGGGCCCCTCCGCTAGTGTTAGTTTAATGGAGTTGGACTAAACTATAGGTTTGGGTGCTAAAGTGGTACATTTAAAAGTTTAAGCCCTAAAGTAGACTAACCTCAAAGTATACCTATTTACAATTTACCTTAAATTTACCATTTGAAGCATATTTTGAAGTAACTAAAATGCTTTTAAAAGATAATTTGGTACCATCAACTATTAGCATAGTCAATTTTCAAACAGTAAGATTGGCATGAAGGCAGCGTGAACTCTGTTGTCGTCGATCTCTCTGGTGGCGCTGCTTATGCATCAATGGCTTCCATTGTTGGATCGAAGAGAGCTTGAAGGTGAGCCATAATTTGTAAGGTTCAAAACTGACGGTGATCTAGTGTTGATGGAGACAGTCAGAGGAAGATAGAGAGAGGTTGGAGGAGGTTTGGTCAAGGGTAATATTGGGCTTTAAAAAATTTTAAACGGTCACGTRGTGTCACGTGTATAGGTTTTGATGAAATATTGGTGAATACTAATGGTAAAGTGTAGAGCTAGACAATTGTTAGAAACAATAAGGGTAGCATCAATCAATTTTCAAACAGTAAGGATACATATACTTAGTCAATTAATTAAACCATAATGGTAGTTTAAGAAATTTACCTTTTATATTAAAATGAGTAGAACAATCAAATTATTCAACTCAAGACTTATATATATATATATTCTATAACAAATGCTTTTAGTTATCGATACAATATTGGGTTGTGTTCCATTGTTGATTTTTAATGAAATGTCAAATTTGGTATTTTCTTTTATAAATACCAACACCTAATCGAATGCCTATATTTTTTTAATGAAAGTGATTATTTTCAAAAA